CCGCCCCGCCCTCCGCAGGCAGCGCGGAGCCCGCGGGCAGCCGGCGCTGCGGAGCCGCTCTCCGCGCCCGCGGGGCCTGCCCCCTTTATTCGCGGAGAAGCAGCCTTCCCGCGCGGGCCGCGGGGTCTCCCTGCCGGCCGCGGCTCTGCCTGCGTCCGCCGCCCCTTCGCGGGTGCGGGAGGGATGCGGGCACTGGACACCCCGCGCACCTCCCGTGAGGTGGGCGAACGGCCCTCCGTCACCCCCGGCACCGGGAAGCGGTGGGCAAGCGCTCCCGCACCCCTGGTGTCCCTGCTCCGCAGTGTCTGGATTGAGAAGGAAGCCAGCCTGTCTGGAACAGCAGTTGTTCTCTGGACTTAGTCCTGCAAACCGTTTTTCACGGGCATCTTTGCGCGCACAAGTGACCCTACTGAAGTCACTGTTAATGCCAAAATGCAGTTTTCGGGGTCAGATCTGGAACCCTTTCTCAGTGATTCAAAATGTTGGCAGCAGGAGGACAAAGTCTCTGTCAGCTTTTTTAAATTATTGTTATTAATTGAGTAGATGAGATTTAAAAAGAATTTCCCCTTCTTTAGTTTATTAATTTTACATATAGAATAAACTAAAAGGAAACTTGCTGTTTCATAAAGACAATTCTCACAGTCATTAAAAATTTGTTTCCTTCCTCCGGCTGGTCATTATTTTTCTGTTTATGAAAATCACATCTCCCTTGAGATCCTTGTAGTTCAACTAGGAGAGATAAAAGAGTGTGTGTAGTAGATTCGGAACAAGAAAAAATGAAGGCTTCTGAGAATTTTATTCAAGAAACTACTAGTCAAACTATGTAAGGATTGACCCAGATGGGCCTGGTCCAAAAACTTCAAGGCCCCATCTGTGCTTTCAAATCCATACGTTTCAAGCACAGGGAGGTAGGAGTTAGGCTTGGGAGCTCATCTGAAAAAAAGATTCAAAGCATATGTAGTAACACTTCTGCAGGGAATTGGGACGCGGAGAGGAGGGTCAGGCTTGGAGCTCATTTTCAGAAGGAATTCCAAAGCACATGGAAGTGGTGAAGGCCTGGTATGAAATGACTGCGCAGCACAGCCAGTAGAAAGGCATTAAATGAACCATTTAAAGCCAAATTGTTCTTTGGATGACTGCAAAGTCATTTCTCACATTATTTCTACTATTTATCTGTCTAGCAAAGAAAACACTTGCGTTGTGAAATGCAGCCGTTGCGACAGCATCAATTGCTTGTCAAATAGCTAATAACATGCATCTTTTTTGAATCTCTTTTTTATGTATTTTAATAATTTATTTGGCCCATTTTTTATGTTGTGTATTTAAAGTGACATATTTGTTCCTTTGAAGATTGCCTCTTGTTTTGGGGAGGAGAAAGAGGGGAAGAAAGTGATTTAGGTGAAGCAGACTCCTTGGGGCATGAGCCTCACCTAGACTGTGTAAACTTGTAAAAACTCTCTGATGCATATTAAGAAATTTGTAATTGTAATACCAATTTTATTTTCTCTTCAGCTTGGCGTATACTGGAATACTCTTTTCTAACTTCGTCGGCAAATGTTTTATTTGGGATATCACTGAACTTCACTGTTTACGAGAAATAGAGAACACCTTAGTGGAAGTGCCCCCCACGTGGTATGGATTTATTCATTTATTTTGTGAAGTGGTGCCCCCATCATTCAGCTCTTGGGAACAAAATGAGGCCTTAGAAACGTCGTGAGTTCAGCAAAACTGGGGGAAGAAGCCCTCACTTTCACAGGGGATTACAGAGGTCCACTGGTGTCACAGTTACGGAGACGAAGGGACTTGCATTGGTAACACAGCCACTGTTGTGCAGTAGTGCTTTCACATATGCAACATTTGTTAGAGTTTAAAGCAAGCCCTTTTTAATTACAGCCAATGACGTACCCTGCAAAACCAAGGGTTTCACAGGAGAGCAAATCTGACAAAAGAATCCCAAATGTCAGTAACTGACTGCCTACAATGGGATTCATGATTGCAATGCTTGGGCACAGGAGTAACACAAATACACGCTGGTTACGTTACACTGAGTAGGAATCACAACTGCAGCTATTTCTTCCTCCGCCTGGGAGAGAGAAAGTTTTTGCTACTCTTAAAGGGCCAAATCTTGAGATTCTTAGCGTGTTTTTGCTCAGACAAATTCCAGTTGATTTCAGGAGGATTTAGCGTGGTACAACAACCAAACAGGGACCTCAGGATTTGAGTCGGTAGAATTATAATGATCCTCAAAACTACAGGGACTTTGAGGAACACAAAGCCTTTTGTTTTTCCTTCCATGGAGCCAGAAGTGTGTTAAGTAGTGACATCTAGTAAAATATCAGAGTAAAGTACCCCATTCATAAAACTGTACTAATGATTAAAGGGTCTCTAATTCAACCCAGTGACCCCAGTGGAATTCTTAAAGTTTGAAAGCCATGACGTAGAGTATTATTCATTGCCCTTTCATTAATGCTGACCACAGTCTACTTTTTCAGAGGACGGAAAACCCTTTTGAACCTTGATATATTATAAACTACTTGATGATAGGAAATAAATATATCTTAGCCAAAGAACAAGTGAATAAGACCATTCCCAAAATTAATTTTCAATATTCAATAGCATAGTAAAATTAATGACGATACTTGCAATAGCAAGAGTTATACCATCAGTTAGACTGAGAAGAACCCTCTGTGTACCAGTGCAAGTTGTTCTCATGTCCTGACAAAGAGTGGAGTACTTCTAGGCAACGATATCAGCCAAAACAACACATCTAGTTTGATTCTGTATTTGCATATTAGCTACAGAACAGCGGGCAAAAATAAATGCTAGCCTAGCATATGGCAAAGTAAACCAGCATTGAAAAGGTTCTGATTCAACACGTACCTAAACATAACTGAACACAGTATAAGGCTGCATGAAAGCAAGCATCCTAAAAACAGTTAGAGGCCAGGGCAGAAATACTACATTATACATTAATGGTGTATCTGGCTTTAGACTGGTAAATTTTGTCAGAGATCACATAAGACATGGACCGATAGACTCAGTCTATCATGGCAAACATAAATAGCTGATGGGATTCACCTCCCTGTTACGCAGGCTTCACTGACACACTCAGAAAGTCCATACGGCCAGCGGAGAAGGCCCAGCCCCGCACAGCGCACAAGCCCCACGCCAGAACCACTGACACCACCACAGAGTGGGGCTCTGCTTGGTGCCCAAGGCAAGACGGCAGCAACGCACCCCCTCCACCAGGCTGCTGTTCCCTACATGTAGGAGCAGAGAAAGGAGGGCAAATATGCACAACAGATGAAAGAATCACACTGATTTTCCTGTCTGGGTAATGGGGTCAGTGGTAAGATACTGCTTTCCAGTTCTTCAGCTTTGTCTCCTTCCTTTGCTTCCCCTCTCTTGCCATGTTCCCATCCAGCTGAAGATGAAAGAAGTCTGGCATTGGCCTCCCAAGGTCTCAGATGGGTGCTGTTCTCTCCCACCTGGAAGTGACACACAGGTCATGCTAGACCACCTCCAGTGAGAGTTGAACTGTGCTTTTTGAAGTGGAAAAAAGCATGTCATTCTCCAAAAATTGTACGCACAGAGGCAGTAACTGTGCAAACTGTGCTGCTCCTCCTCTGCATTAAATAATCTGTCTATATTTTACAGAAGTGTTTTAAAAAAAGGCTGCTCAGTTGCGAAAGGAAAAATATATACAATTTCAAGTTTCTAAAGATGCTTCTGGTGCTCTCAGCACCATTGTCAGGGACAATTTGAAATATATCTAAGCTCTGAAGATTTCTGGGACCCAGCTGATACAAAATTTTGAACCCATCCCTCTCAAAATCACACAAACCACACTCAGCCTCCATTTCAGCCACCTTCCCTTTTACTCCATCAACAAAGAATTGCCCACAGCAATGATACCTCTTCAACAATTGCTTCAATTGCTATCCTGCTGATGCATTTGGGGTCACAATCCTGGTCTTGCAGGTATGACTGATCCTTTTAATAACATTTAAATTTTGTTTTGGTGACCATATGAGTGCTTTGATCGCTCATTCCCAAGACACACAAATGGGATGCTTGTCACAAGACACTGTTTCAGCTTTTGGGTCTTTGTCTTTGGTACCTATGGTCTTGGCAGTTTTTTCAGCATTTTTCCTCAGGGATTTTTGCAATCTGGCATGTCAGCACCTACTAGCTGTAGCAACTTTGCAGCCTTGGCTTATTGCCTCAAAGCTTTGGCATGAGTCTGCACTGTGGCATCCTTTCAACTCCAAACCTACTTGCTTCACAGGTTTTCTTTGTTTTTTTTCAGGGTGTCAGCAACTGCCCTGACCCTAGGGGGGAAGAAAGACTGATCAGCAAGTTCAAACAGTGTCTGTGCAGCAGAAAGATGTCTATCACAAATGAGCA